CCCACCCTCTCCCACCCAAGCCCTACCTAGGACCACCCCAGCCCCCCACCTAGCTTACCTGTACTTCCTAGGCTGTCCCTGAGCAGCCGGGCTTCCAGGAGGGCTGGGTACTGGCTGTTACCTGAGCGCAGAGTCCCCTGGGGCCAGGCCATGCCTTCGGGCTGTGGGAGGCAGTCCCCGGCCAGGAGCCGGCCCAGCCAGTGGCCCTCACACTGGCCAGCAGGCTGCATGTGGGCGGGCAGGTAGTGGGCCAGGTCCCGGAGGTGGCGCAGCCGGAAGTTCTTGGGCTTGCTCCCCGGAGCACCTGGGCACTGCTCCTGCTGGGTCCCCAGTCCCCCCTCATAGATGTGGGGAGGCGTGTCGGGGTGGCTAGGGTGTCCCTGGGCCCAGCTCACTGCATCTGTGGAGGGAGACAGAAGGGTGGCAGCCACTGGCCAGCAGCCGCCATAAGAGTGGACATAGGCCTTCAAGATCGGCCTTCTGTGATGGGCTGTCCCTGACCCACTGAGCCCCGGTTTACCTGTCTCTCAAATGGGCACAGGCTCTCGCCACACAGATGCCCTCTCTCTCTCACACATACATCACACACACACTCACCTACACTCACACACACACACTCCACTTCTCACCGTCACACGCATTGTCTCACCAATGGACACACCCCCTTTCTCACATACATACTCATTCACACCCATGCTCTCTCACATACGTGCTTAAGCTGCCCTCTCACACACACCCTGGACTCCCCTCTTAAGCACACATATGCCTCTTTCTCGTGTACACACACGTACACACCCTCTCACAAATAAACACCATGACAGACACACAAACACCCCCAGCCTCTGGCAAATGCACTCACACACACGCACCTCGTCACAGATCCACACTTTCTCTCAGACACACACCCTCTTTGTACCTCCCCCCCTTCTTAGACCCCAGCGTGCACCCCTTCCTCTCTCTCTCTCTCTCACACACACACACACTGTCATCATACATTCCCCCTCACACATACCGTCTTTCACATGCTCACACTTTACACACAGAACCACACTCACACAGACGTTCTCCTTTGTAGACACATAGACCCTCTCTCCTCTGTACACACACACAGACCCTCTCCTCTGTACACACACAGACCCTCTCCTCTGTGCACACACAGACCTCTTTGCACACACAGACCCTCTCCTCTGTACACACACACACACACACACACACACACACGCCCTCTCCTCTGTACACACACACAGAGAGATCCTCTCCTCTGTACACACACACAGACTCTCTTCTTTGTGCACACACACACAGACCCTCTCCTCTGTGCACACACAGACCCTCCTCTGTGCACGCACACACAGACCCTCTCCTCTGTGCACGCACACAGACCTCTCCTCTGTGCACACACACAGACCTCTCCTCTGCACACACAGACCCTCTCCTCTGTGCACACACAGAGACCCTCTCCTCTGTACACACACACAGACCCTCTCCTCTGCACACACACAGACCCTCTCCTCT